TATATATATATATATATATATATATATATATATATATATAATATATATATATATATATATATATATATATATATATATATATATATATATATATATATATATGTAAATCCCCCTGACGTACCAAACTGACAGGGTGCTTTGCCATTACCCCAGTCGTGGTCGCGACAACACTTTACGCGTACCCAGACGGTTCCTGGACATGATTGGAACAGTGTCATTTGGACATTGTTGCGGTGGTAGACTGCGATTCGGCGTTCAAATCGTACTGGAGGTGAGAGCAATGGTTGGAGGTACCACGGGTGCTTCCGACACCAGCTGTCCAGCACCTTGTCCAGATGCTCCAGTTCACGCGGGGATGACATTGACTTGGGTTTTAGGGTTACATATTTTAATAATAATTTTAAATCGTCCGTTTTGACAGCTCTACGCCCGCTAGCGGCACAATCAGTTCCTTGGATGTCACGGTCACCAACATCGTCTTGCCGGTAATCTTGCGGATCTTCGACATGGTCGTCTGTGCAACCATGCGGGTGAGTTTGTCGATTGCCGACACCACAACCGGTTCGGGCTCGTGCTTGAGGCATAGGTCCAACATCAACTGTGCCCCCAGGTCCGTGTACTGCAGGATGCATGTGTACAGGCACGCCGCGACTATCATGCGTTCGTCGTGTGTGCGTAGCATGCGTACATAGGCCGTCTCGCTCATGAACCCACACAAATACCGGGCGGTGTTATCCCTAGACACACGGCTCTGGAACGCCAGCAGGGCCGGTGCTGGGCGTTGCTCACGACACTGCCTCTATACACCTGGGTTATCCGTCCGGCATACTCCTTCCGATACTATGGTGTCGGAGCGCTTGCAACTGCTGGAGTCCCGATTCGGAAAGCGGAGGATCAATCGCCGTGGCTTCCCGGTGTATGTTACGGTCGGCGACACTGCCGGCGGTGCGGACCAGGGGTTGCAGGCTGTGGTCCACAGTGGTAATCCCCCCTAAAACTACGACCAAGGGGGTGAGATCCGCCACCGCTGAGTGTAAACACAAACCTTAGGCCACCCGGGGGACAACACGTCGAGACGCCCACTATGCTGCTCAGCAACGACTGGCGTCGTAAACTCGCACTTCTCAACAATGACGATTGGTGCTGAAACGGTATGCGGGCTCGGCCGAGTATATTCACCAGGCCCAGCCACGGCGGTGATGGCACCGATATAGGCATCTGTAGAAATACAGCCTCCACAGTGGCCTTGTACGATATGGACCGGGGCAAGATGAGGCACCGGCAGCTCGAACGGTATATCCGTTCGAGTCTGGTCTGGGGGTTCAAAGTAGGTCCCGAAACGTCTCTTCTGTGCACACTCGAACGGTGATACCGTTCGAGTCTGCAATAGTGGTACGAATTAGGGCTCAAAACGTATCTTCCGGTAACACTCGAACGGTAGTACTTGTCCGCTCACATGTCCGGTTCAAGTGCACACAAAATTGCAAAAAACCACTGAATAATTGCAAAACACAAATTACAGTGTCAGAGCCCGAGACTGACGAAGCGAAATAATAATAATAATAAAAAGACCATTTTACATTTGGCATGAAATAAAGGCATATTTTGATTTGGCACGAAATAAAGGCATTTTTACATTTGGCATAAAAAATGGTAAATATGCCACTAAATATAGAGTATTTGGCTTTTAAACCCTTCATCACTACATCCTTACTCACATCATTTGCCAATTTATGCAGCATATCCACATAGTCATCATCCCTCAGCATAGGAACCATCCAGCGTGCACCATGCTGGTTCACTTTCTTAGCATTCCCATACTCACGCCGTTTTTGCCTAGAATCAATTTTCAACTTAGCTGCTGCCCTTGTAGAAATACGGCCTCCGGTCATTCTAAAATATCAAGATCAATTGAGATAATACATTGGTTTTTATTTGTATTTTAAATAATTTAATACAAACTCTTTTTCCAATATTTCCAAAGTGTTCTAAATGCACTTTGATGGCTCCAATAGCCTGAGTATTTGGTATGACTCATCTACTTGGATCTATTTGAGACATTAATAGATGTAGGATATTATAAACTAAATTTTATAATCTCCGAACTACTACTTATAGATTTTGGTCCTCCCGCCAATCTCCAAAATCCAATAAGTCTTTTTTTTTTTATAACTTTTTTTCAGATGGAACTTTATTTATATTTGCTAATGTATTAACGTGACTTACGTTATTATGTCTATCTACAAATTAGGCATGTGGTCATGAACACTTAGTACTTCTAGTGAAAATTATTCAATAAAGAACGGCTAGAGGTACGCCCTGTGTGATCGAGGATATTGAGGCTCTTAACAAGAGGCAGTCCCGATCATTCTTACACAAGCTACCACTGCTAAATCCTAACTGACTAAATTGTATTTTAGTTTAATATAGTTTGAAACCTAGTAATTTCCATCGAAGTTTACATATTTTTTTTCAGTTATTTAGTAGTTACAGTAGTGTACTGCTTCTAGACTGTCTAG